AACCTAATTTGACAAATCGAAAGTAGACGTGGAAACAGACTCATGGTTTTGTAAATATTTCTGTGAAGAGGATTTTCATACAAACAAATTAGAAGAGATAATGCCATAAATGATTTGTCCAGTTTCTTTAGTGAAGTGTTTGTCTCTTGGTGCATGAAAATTAGTGCATTGATAGGGTGGCCAGGAAAACTGTGGAAGTTGACAAAAGTAAATTTGGAAAGAGAAAGTATAATGTAGGAGGAGTGATAGAGGGCCTGTGGGTGTTTGGTGAATTTTGCTGAGAAACGAAAGACCTTTTTTTCATACCCATTGAAAAAAGACTATGTGCAACACGGGACAACTATGATTTCTGACTGTTCTGAACGAAGATGGCTTCAATCACCTCAAAGTGAACCACTCATGTAATCTTGTTGATCCCAAAACTGGCGCTCATACCAATAACATAAAGAGTAAGTAGAGGGACGCAAAATGCACAGTCCCTCAATGTGGCTGCTGGAAAGCGCATTTTGTTGGGCACATATAGGTAAGGAAGATATGCTTAGTTTGTGTGGCGATCTTTGGGAAATTTCATCAGGATTTTGGCAACACTGACACTGGCACGGCACATCTTGCAACGGCTAAATGAAAAGTTTACATGTTTATCAACTATTTTAATCTTAATTGTGTTATTTCTTCTTTCTTCTCTTGATTTTTAATCTGAAGTTAGACTTGATATTTTTATTTTCTCCCATTCTCCCATTCACTTTTTTATTACGAACTTTGGCTCGGGTTTTTCACTTTTACACTTTCTTTCATTTTTATTACTAAGTTGTGCTCAGGTATTTCACTTTTACACTTTTTTCAATTCCTTATTACGAAGTTTGGCTCGGGTTTTTCATTTTTACACTTTCACCATCTTATTACAAAGTTTGGCTGAATTTTTCATTTTAACACTTTCCTTTCCTTTTTTAATCCTGATTCTCATTCAGATTTTGCATTTTTCAAAATTTTCAATTTTGATTCTATTATTTCTCCTATAGTGTTACACCTAATAACACTATAATTGGGCAAAACACATATTGTAATGTATTAATTGTATGGTGCCTTAACTTGTACCAATATAGCGGGTCCCTTGCTCTGTGTAGGGGTCATAGGAACATTCGGCAGTAAGCTAAGGCGCCCTAAGGAGATACAGCACTGTAATGCATTTGAGTATCTGGCCCCTGGTCTCCTACACATCCATGGTGAAACAAACACAATGGCGATATCTTGACATGAAATGATACCCCTCTCAATTAGGTAAGGTTAGGCTTAGGTTAAGCCTGGTTTGGTTTGGTTAGGTTAACCCACTAATGACAGGTGTCCCGCATACGAGACACCCAAAAAAATAAACATTGCTGGGCGTCCTGCCAGTGTGACACTGTATCGGGGCTCGTGCTCCGACGCAGCAGCAGAGTTCCCTGCGTGCCGATTTCGTAGCCGCCCTAAATCTTTTATTTTCAGCTTTAAATTACACCCGCTGTAATGGGTTAAGTTTGGTTAGGTAAGGTTAGGTAAGTTTAGGCTAGGCTTAGGTAAGGTAATATTAAATGTGAAAGGTAAGGTTAGGTGAGGTTAGGTAAGGATAGGTTAGGTTCGTACTTATTACCTGGAAATGACATTTACATCTGCATAAGCACATGTACCGCACGCTTAACTGCGAGATATCAGATAAAGCTGCCATACGCATAACCTCGGCTAATTATTTAAGATATTTAACATATAATCAATGTAATAGAGAATATTTCATAAAATGGTCAATATGGATAACAGGGTAGTGGCTTACTTTCAAAACTATTTTGATGATCATCTGCAGGAAATCCACTGATTTCAACAATTTTTGGAGTTGTTTCATGTGCAAATGATTTGTTGTGGAGATCTGAGTACTATTTCCAACAACAATCTTGATTTGTAAGTCCCAATAGCAAGGGAAGGCATGAAGTTTATCAGGGAAGTTATGGGGTAAAACAGGCTTAAGGGGACCGTCCCTGAGAGAGGGGGGAGGAGGGGGTTAAATTGAGTTAGTTAGCGTATAGTATAGGTACATGGATGAGGAAAATACCAAACGAGTATTAACCGCCTGCTATGGCTCGTTGTCTTGCAGCCGGCGTGCGAGTCCCTCAGCACCCGGAGAGGTACGTCGCTATTGAGCGCCCAGGTACACCTATGTGGACTTTTGCTTGCGGCAATCGTGCATAAGGCATTTAATTATGACATTGCGCATAGATATGAGTTCGTGAATGTTCAAGGAACACTTTTATACCAATATCAGGAAAAAATTATATCACCGT